GTATAATTTGTTAAAACATAGCATAGCATTTATATATTTTTAAAGTAAACACTATTAAGTATATCTAGAATTGTCAATGCAGTAGCCATTGTTGACTGATAACTTCTCATGTTTGATATCAATACTCTATGCATGTACAGGAATCTTGGTAGCATAGGATAAAATCATTACAAGAATAACATGTGTAATATGTAATCTAAGCTTTCAACTACTTGGAGCCTCAAAATGTTCCATGAGTCTATAATGTAAGTTTTCATTTTCCACATTGTTTAATGTGAAAAATGAATTCCCTGTCTGGGATCTTATGAATATGACTAAACAAGTACACAACTAAGGAAAGTGTGGTTTTTTATCAGTTCTGTTTATAGATTCAACAATATGCTTCCAATCTATGATGCCATATATGGATTCAAATGGGGCATGATCCCTAGCTTCTCAAAATCCAGAACAGGGATAAGATATGATCTTTCAGTCCAATTTATCAAGAATTTTTTTTATGTTTAGTTTTATAAATTAGCTACATCTGTCAATACTTAGGGGCCATGTGATAGTAGCTGAAGCGGCTTCACTGAATGACTTATTGCTTTTTCTTTTAGTGTATAAAATAATTAAATAATAAAATATCCAAAGGTATCAATAACCAACCCAACTTCAGCTTCAGTTATGAAGGAGCTCACAATGTCCCTAATAACTTATTCACTAAAAGACAAAGCAAAATCATTCAGTTCAGTTATTTCTGCTGTTATAAAACAGTCCCTAGTAACCCCTGATATTCATGAAGTTTCTCATAGCAAAATTCCTAAAAGCATGGTATCCATATTCTTGTTGAAAAAACATTAGGTGTTAGGTGACAAAGCATTTACTATGAGAATAAAACAAGAAATATACTTTGGTAGTATTGATGCTGTATATAGTGTCAGTACCAGTATTGTATTGATGTAGGACTGGTCTGACCGGAGGAGATAGACAAAGCAAGTTTATCTGCAATTTGGAGAAAATTCATGAAATGGGGGTTTTGACCATGGGTACACAGGCCCAGCCACCCCCTAGTGGGACCTCTAATATAAGGTGTGGCGGAAGCTGATCCCCCAAATATTCAGAAGCTACAGAGACACTCAGAACCTTCTAACATCTTTACTGTGGGGGTTGTTTAGTCATTTTGAGTCAGTATGAATCTGGGTTGATTTTTGTTTATTTTCTACTTCCTAATTTTCTTTTAGCTGTCAATATTTTTAGTCGGTAGTCCTAAAGAGTTTTAGAAGTTGTCAAGTGGGGTCCACTAACCACATAAAGTCTTAGGTGTTAAGCCTTTCTATTTCTTAAACCTTATGATCCTTTTGGAATCAGGTGGGTTCCTTTGGTGGATTTGAAGAGCTTATTCCTCAACTCATTCTCTCCACAAAAGAGAAAAGGGGAAGGTGCTTTCGAGATGTACAAGGGCAGCTATACTTTCGTGCGCGTGGGAAGAAAGGAATGCCTGTCTCTTTAAGGACAAGGAAAGATGTATAAAAGAAATCATTGACAACATCTCAATCAAATTGGTGCATTGGATGAAGACCTTGGACTTATTCTTTGATTTCATAGTAGATGACATTCTGAGAAATCGGAGGCAAATGGCAAGCTCTTGTCCTTGGAAGATTAAGCCTTTGGTCAGTTGGGTTCCACCATCTTTGGGCCAGGTAAAGATGAATTTTGATGGTTGTAAGCTTGTAGCTTGGGTAATCCTAGGCCTTCAAGTACAGAAGGAGTTTTGAGGGATGAAAATAGAAACATCCTTGAGTTATTTTTAGGACCTCTAGGAACAGGAGCCTCAATTGGGCAGCACTTGCAGGCTTAAAGAGAAAAAGCAAGGAATTTGCTGGCATCTCTTTGGATGACTTACATAGGAACTTATTGCAGATACTTCACTCCTCTCCAGCAACACAGCTTCAGGCTCAACCCCTCCCAGAGCTTCTCCCCTTTTTAGAAGTGATTTTATTTTAAAATTTGATGGCAGCTGCATGGGAAATCCTGGCCCTACTAGTATTAGCGGTGTTGTGTTGACAAACAGAGGTGACATCATCTGGGTTTACAGCAGTCCAATTGGAGATGGTAACCCCATGGAAGCAGAGACCTTAGCAGTCCTCACCGGTCTCTGCATTGCTGAGGTCTTTCTCCAATAACAGTTTCCAAAGAATCAGCCAACACCATTGGATGGCTTAAACTGGACAGGGGAGGCCCTTGGCTTTATGATCATTTCCTAGCTGAAGGAAGAGATCTTGCAGCCCAGTTGTAGGTCTTGCTTACTTGGATTCCCAAAGAGTTCAGTTCTTACGCAGATATGTTGGCAAAATCTGCTGTAAACAGAGGACACTTGTATAGCAGCAATACTGCACCCTGATTTTTCTTTGGGTGCTCTTTTTGTACATCTTTTTGATAATATAACACCTTGTTATTTCCCTCAAAAAAGAAGAAAGGAATATAAAAGAAGTTGAAGTTGAAGGGGATTCAAAAACAGCCTTCAGGTGGGGTGGTTCAAGAACAGAAGGTAGCTTGGAATTATAAATATATCTTTAGGGAGCTACAAAGGATTATAGAGGAGCGGCAAGCAAAAGTAATTTGGATTTTGGGTTCCAAGGGCATCCAATGGATTGGTATATGAATTAGCCGAGTTGGCTAGTGGCTGTTGTCTTCATGTAAGGAGGTTAGCCGAGGCCAGCCTCCCTATTTCGGTTCCCTACTTTGTTGTACTCACATTTTATACTAATTAAAAAAATTCAGTACTGTTATTAATCATAAAAAAAGCTTCTAATTTTTTTAGCAGTCAGGTTTGGAGTTTGGGCTAGAATAAAAGCTGGCTGACCCATTCATGTTTCTATAGGACCATTTTATGTTATCAAGATTTCATATTTGAACATGAAATAAAGCATCTATTTGAGTACTGCGTTGGCATGTATGCCTTCTCTCTCCTCTATCTTCTTCCTTTATTCCATATTTTTCCACTTGCTGCACACTTCTCTACTGCAGAATGTAGATCCCTAATCTTCTTTAATCCATAAATCCTCATTCTCTCCTATTAGCTGCTGCCCTGTAATTTTTCTTGAATTTTACTTGCAAGATATCAGATATGGAATCCAGATTCAAATCAATATCTTCTCCCTTACAGTGCCCAGTCCAGGTCTTAACCCTTTTCTCACATCTAAAATCTTCTTTACCCATCCTTCTAGTCCACCATTGCTGGATAGAAAGAGGCTTCCCCTACTTGACCTACATCATATGTTGTGTCAACATGGCAACAAGCCAAGCATGTTTAAGCATCCAGTATCATGGCTTCCAATTAAGTAAAGGAATTTGTTGATTTATATATTCTTCTAGAGTATGCACTCCCTTAAACAATGTTTTAATGAAGCTTAGTTATTTATTTTTGTTACCTTATATATTCTTTTAGTTATTTTTTAATTTATTTCACAGTCCTTCTCAATGGTAAACAAGAAATTTATTTAAAAAGAGAAGAACACATTATTAGATGATAAATAGACAGTCAAACAGGATGAAAGCAAAGAAGACCCTACTTCACACATCACACCCGAAACACCACACTCCTACCACAACAAGAAAGAAAGAACCAGAATCCTACAAGTTCAAATTCCAGAAAATTTTCTATTCACCCTCTTTATACCTGATAAAAAAACAAAATTAGAAGAACAAAAACAGACTTAATCAATAGACATTACTTTATATGAGAAACTAACACCAAAGTTGTTCTCTTTCCTTTGATATCAAATTTTTATTGCAGATTTACTAACATCAAATAACTAGTTAAGCAAAAAAAACTAATAATCTAAATAATAAAACTAACAATTCAACCAATCGCAGGTTAAAGTTTCGGCTGCTGACTATTGGCTATCATTTCTCATTTAGAATCAAAACCTCAACCAACGATCAGTAGGTGAAATCAAAATAAGCAAAGAAACCATTGAACCATAAAAGACATGAGAAAGAAGTAATTTGAACCCTAACACATACCACCATGAATTAACTTGGTGGATCTCGAAGAAGTCCCGGAGGAGAAATCCTCTCTCTCGACGAGGCCAACGCGAAGTCCCCTTGACGCGGCATCCAGTGCCACCCCACACCCGGTCGCGCCACCACCGACAACAAGAACGTCGAGAGGATTGGCTGAGCTGGCGCCCATCAAAGCAGATTCTTGGACTTCCCGCGAAGGGACGACAGCGTTGACGTCATTGATCTTCTTCCGGATGCTGTGGAAATGCCCTCGGTCGTTCTCAGACAGAACTGGATCCCTGAGGCTCAATGCACCGTAAGCTCCGGCGACGGCTATTACGGCAGCGCCGAAGCCCTTCAATCGAGTAGCTGTAGCCATGGACGCAATTCTTCGGATTACAGGAATGGAAGCGCCGGCGTATTCCTTTTTTATTTTTCGATTGCGTAGGGAATCAGAACAGAAGACGTGATTCTGCTTTTGGTTTGGCTCCGAATATGCTGCGAACATATGCGTGTAACACAGGCTACTTAATCAATCCCATTCACGGGAGATGTTCTCCAATGCACGGGGACAGCCCATCCCCCCGTGTATTGAGACCATCTACCGTGGTTGCCATGGGAAGATATTCTCAAATCACGGAGGGGATGGGTTGTGGGGCTCGTTGTGTGGGATACGCATCGCGTCTATGCATCCGAAGTCAATCACGTTCACACGGGATGGGACCATATCGATCGCATGTGTACGGAACAATGATGTTTGTATCAATGCCGTCTTTTTCTGACGACGACTGCGCTTTGAAATTTTTTAGAGCCATTAGCCATATTCTATTAAGGATAACTGTCACGGGGTTAATTGGCTGGGCCTGCGGCATTCGAGTGGATCGATTAAATTTAAGAAAGCAACTGATCACGTATAAAAGGCAATAAAAATGGCACACGAATTAATAGATGATAAGGACAAATATACAACTTTGTCTCGAGGGACCTCGTGCTTAACTTTTACATGTTCTTGACACTATTCAACTACCTAACTTCTCTCAGAGTAGCTTAAGTTTTTTGTGCTCTAACAAAAGATTACATTGAGATAATGAAAATTCATACTACATAATTACAATAATACCATCGGCAATCCCCCAATACGAAATACACATGTTGCCCCACCCAAGACACATTAGATGACACTCTATTGGCAAGACATGGGCGCAAGGTAGGCACTTGATGGCTTGTGGCTTGTGGCTTGTGTCTTAAGTCCTCGAAAACCAGCTTCAGCTTGTGGCTTGAGTTCGATGTTGGTGAAGGAAGGTTCTTCTAGTGCTCCACGAACTTCTTTTCTTCCAAGGCCTGGGCTAGTGTTTGGGTAATAGGTTTGAGGCCAGTTAGGATGATAGGGAAACCTATGGCCAGGTCCTAAGTTAAGTCCTTGGCTAGCGGCTTGGAGATAAGTCATGTGTGGCTTAGATTGGTTTACACTACTGGCTAAGCTAGGGATTGGTGCAAAAGATGAATTTAGGTCAAAATGATGTTGGATACTGAGGGGTGTCCCCCAAGGTTCTCTCCTCACCGGACTACTATGTGGATTAGATGGAGGCCGAATGCTAGAATGGTTCCTGGAGCAAGTGGGTGGCTCTCTCTTCCCAGGGTAATAGGTACGGTTGTTGTTGGAGTTGGCCTTGGGTCTTCACTTGGGCCCGTTGGTTGAGGGCGCTGGCATCTTCTGCTGTGGATGTGGCTTCTGCTGACGTTGTGGCGATGATGGCACTGTCTTCTTGCTGGAGATGTGACGATCACTTCTGATTACGATGACAATGGTTGTTGCTACCGAGCTCTTTGGTGTCCCTTAATGTGGGGGTGAAAGTTGGAGTTGCAAGGCTGAGACTTGCTTCTTCTTCAAATCACCTAAGGTAATCATGTCGACCATGCAAGGTGTCTGCACATCCATGATCAACAAGGTGTTAAGGTGAGGTGTTGGTGCAGCTTTCGCCTGAGTCAAGAAGTCCATACCAAGGACGATAGCGAAGTCATCCAGTTGTGCTCTGGTCCTAGGTGCCGACTCAGAGTCCTACTCGACGAGCCATGCCTTCGATGATTTTTGCACCTATGTTAACAGCTTTAAGCCAACCTAGCTCTCTTGACATGGCCAAATTAAGTCTCTTGGCCTCAGCAATGGATATAAAATTATGAGTGGCCCCTATGTCAAGTAGGGCCCGGGTTGGCTTCCCGCCAAGGTATATGTCAACGTACCTCAATCCTCTTTTGACTGAGGCGGGATGTTTGGAGGTAGCCCCTTTTTTCACCATGGCATTGAAAAGTTGTAGGGTACCCATTCTCGGCTTCTGTGTACTCCGCTCCCCATCGCTTCACTCATCATCACTCAACTTGAAAATGAGGGCACTTAGTTTCTCCCGCTTTGGGTAGTGCTTGGTCAAGTGCTCCTCCCCACAAATGTAGCAAGTGGGAGGACGTGCTGGTCTCCCCTAATATCTGTTGTTATAGGAGTTTCGGCTTCTTATGGCTGCTTCCCTTTGTGGTACTCGACTGGCTTGTGGTGGAATGGCTGCTTCTCCTTCGAGGGACTTGGTAGTCTATCTTCCCCACTCAAGTTGGTGGCACGTGGGCTGGCTGGCTTGCTTCCTTCATCATCCAACAGCCTTAGTTCATTAAGTTGTTCGACCACAGCCATGGCGGAGGCAAGATCTTGGACATTACATCGCTGGAGCTCAAGCTCGGTCCAAGGCTTTAGGCCATCCATGAAGTTGAGCAATAAATCCTTGCTGACATGTCGGTGACTTCCAATGTGAGGGCTGAAAATTCTTTGACATATTCGTGGAGCGAGTCACCCTTTAGAGTTTTCATCTTGCGATGAGCGAGGTACTCCACGTTCTCTGGGTAGAACTATCTCTTCAGCTCCCGCTTGAAGTCAACCCATGTATGAATGGCACACGTGCTCCGTTCTGTGGCGATGAATCTTCTGCGCCACCACAACATAGTGACATCAGTCAAATACATAGTAGTCGTACATACCTTAGCTGGTTCATCATTCACACTAGTTGCGGCAAGGTATTGTTCCATTTGCCACAAGAAGTTGTCGAGCTCCCGGGCATTGCGTGCACCTGAATAGGGAGTTGGCTCCCTAATCTTTATGTGGGAAGGAGTGTGCACCAAGGGGGTGCTGGCTGGATTGGCAATGGCCCTCTTCAAGATTTCACACTCGGCCTTGAGTTCATCTAGTTGAGCTTGGGAGTCGGAGGAACAAGCGACTGCCTTCATGGCTGCCCACTCTACTTTCATTTCATTCAACTGAGCCTGGATGGCCATTGGGGAGGACATGGCTCTCCTCCATGTTGCCCACTCGTTTCTCATTTCGTCAAATTGGGCTTAAAAGTTGTCTAGCTTGTCTTGAATGTTGGAGTGGGATGAGCTTCCTTCTTGTTGACGTGCGGTGCTGTAGACTTCTTTGAGTGTCCCATTAAGCATGTCACAGACCTCATCAACAATACCATTCATGCGGCCTTCCACCTCTACCACCGCACTCTCGATGGCTTCAACTTTTTGATGGAGCTCATCTAGTCGGTCACGCATCTCACCCACAGTGGCTTCACAGTGTAGTACTCGTAGGTCAATAGCGGAATGCTTGTCTGTGGATTTCTCGTGCTTGCTTGCCTTTGATGTATGGGTCTTCGGTGCTTTGTCTTTGATTGTGTCATTGGCGGGTGCACCGTCAGCCTCACGGGATGGGGAGAGTCCATGCTCAATCTCCTCCATGATGTCCCTATTATGCTTCATGGTGTGCTTGCGTCACGGGTCAAATAGTTAGGAATGAGCTCCTACTCTAATACCAACTATGGCAGCAGTTGGCTAGCTCACCCTGATACCAACTGTCACATGGCTAATTAGTGGGGCCCCGTGCAGCACTCGAGTGGGTCGAGTAAGCCTAAGAAAGCAAGCAAAGATGGCACATGAATTAGTAAAATGGCACTTTATATTGCAATAGATGGCAAGCACAAGCACACAAGTTTGTGTCGAGGGGACCTCGTGCTTAACCTTTACACGGTCTTGGCACCACTCAACTACCTACCTCCCCTCAAAGAGTAGCTTAAGCTTTTGGTGCTCTAACAAAAGATTACATGGATATATTGAAATTTCATACTACATAATTACAATAATACCATCGACAATCCCCCCATACAAAATACACATGTTACCCTACCCAAGACACACTAGATGACACTCTGTTGGTGAGACATGGGCGCAAGGAAGGCACTTGATGGCACGGAAAAATTGTCACTTGTGAAATAAGTGCACTACAATTCACCTCAAAAATTTGAATTACAGTCCCTTCTAGTCTATAAATCGCATCCTGCCTGTCAATTTGGCATCAATCCACGGACAAGTTTCAGTCCACCCCTAGAAATCTTAGCTCCACCCTAGGGGTGGACTAAACTATAAAAATCCCTATTATTAAAACATTTTCTATATTTTCATGGATTTAATAAAAACTACCTTATATTAGTATTTTACTAAAACACCATCACCTTTTATAGTTTTTTTTTATATTTCTTTTGAAGGACTACACAGGAGTAGTCCATTCCCAATTCATAACCCCCAATCCAAGTGCAAGTAGGATTCGATCCCAAATCTCTTTGTAGTTTGCAATCGCTTTACTTAATCCACTTTCCATTAGAAGACAGTGGAAAGGGAAAATCTATGACACAGGAAAGACATGGTATTTGAAGAGTTTTGACCAATCAAAACCCATCCATGCATTTTGATAAATAAGAATTGTAACTCTAGTGGAAAATAATAGTTTTGACCCTAATTTTTGTTTGAATAAATTTAATCAAAAGTAAATAAAAATGAAAATAACATTTTTGTTCCTAATAACACACGAGCTATTATTCAATTTGGCTCTATTTGGGTACCTTTAGAATTAACAATCATAGGTACATGCCCTTGAACATTTTCCACTTAGTGTAGGTGATAAAGTTACAATTTTCAGATAGCAAAACAAACATTCTTAGTGAAAGGTAGGGAGTGTTTTCTTTGGGTAAAAGTATGGAGAATGTTTTAGTAAAATGAAAACTATAGGGTAGGTTTAAGTAAATCTATGAAATTAAAAGGGGTGTTCTAGTAAAAGCCATTTTTTAAAATGACCACACTTTTAATTTAATAAAGTAATTCCCTTTTTCATATTTTATATAGGTAACCAAAAAGATGACAATGTTGTTTCCATTGTAAGAAATAGGGGTGAGCATTGTTTGGTTAAAATTGAAAACTAAACAAAAAAACTTTAGTTTCAATTTCAGTTTTTATGTTAGGAAATTCAGTTAACAAAAAAATGAATAAATCAAACTTTATTATATTATAATATATATATATATATATGTTATGTATTATATAGAATATCTATAATATAATTAATATTATATATATTGTATGATATATATTAATATGTTAATGTATATTAACATATTAAAGAAATTCAGTTTTAACCGAAAATAGCATCAAAAAATTCGGTTTCAGTTTAGTTTTCCTTTTCAAACTTTGGTTTTAAAAATTTTGGTTTATTCAATTTGATTTTTAATCAAAGAAACCGATTGCTCACCTCTAGTAAGAAATGTTAAAATGATGTTTTCTCCAAAAAATGTTTAGACAAGACCGGAAAGCAACTTTTGTTTGGAACAGTTTAAAAAAATGTTTAATCAAACAAGAAAAAATGAGGGAGAGTGGGGGTGCAAATTGATTGGATCATGATCCGACCCAATCCTATATTCTCAAATTCGAATAGCCCCATTTCAAATATTTGGATCAGATCGGATAATAGAATCGACCCAATCAAAAATCAAATCGAATTCAGATCACCCCTATCCGATCTGATATATATGTTATTTATTTATTTATATAAATATATAACACATATATATGTAACTTATTTATTTATAAATATATTATTTATATTGCATTTTTGTAAATTTGTTATATTATTTATTTTTTATAAAGAACATGTACATATATGTGATCAAAATAATTGAAAAGATCCTTGTATTTTTGACTACTTCATTCGATTCGAATTCAAATCCATGTTTATGAGATCCAGTCGAATCTTCGGATCAGATTGGATTGGATCTACAATTAATAATGTCAGACCGGATTTAGATATACCTTGATTCGAATTCAATCCGGTTTGTTTGCATCCCTAAGAGAGAGGGCAAAATGCCTATATAATGCTAACATGGTGGAAGCGCCTTTGAGAGTGTGGTACCAAATAACTTAGTAATTTAATGATTATTGTAATCATTTTTTTTATATTTTAAGTCATTTACTAAGACACCCCTATAGTTTAACCTATTTATTAAGACTGCCCTTTAATTTGGGTTTACTAAGACATCCCTTATCTAATACATGCACACACACACACTAGTATTTGTGTACGTGATTTGCACGTGACAAATTCTGTGATAATGATAACATATAATATATTTTCATTTTTTTTGCAATTTTTATATTTTTACATCTACAAAAATAATTCTTATTTATCACATTTTTTATGGTTCACTAATATAAAGATACATCCAAATAAAATTCTTGTAAAGGTAACGAGAATGAATAAAATTCTTATTATTCTTATTTACTATGGTTCATTAATATTTTTTATCAGTTACTTTTCTTAGAATTTTATTGGGTAAATTACAAAGACCCCCCTGTACTATGGGGTCTGTGACAAAGACCCCCTGTACTTTGTTTTGTGACAAAGACCCCCCTGTACTATGACCGTCAAACAAAGACCCCCTTCCATTAGTTTTTCGTTGAAATCCGCTATTGCAATATTTTTTAATCCCCATACTACCTTGTAAAAAGTGGGAGAAAAGCATTGTTCATCTTCCCCGACCTCACGATACACAAACAGTAGTAGTGGTAATCCCTTCTACCTCAGAAAAGAAGAATCTGAGAGGATTTTATCGTTCACATTTTTGCAGGTTTTGTACTATGGGGTTACCTAAAAACATTGTGATCGAAGTGGACGACATGACTTTCCACCTCCATAAGGTCCCTTGCCGATGCTGTCTTCACCTCTTCATACTTCCTTTAGTCTATTTCTCCTCATTCCTCAGGATTGAAATTGTTACTTAATGTGTTTGTTCAATTCCCTCTTATGGTGAAAAGTAGAAAGCTTCATCTGATGATCACCAAGCAAGAAGCCAACATTGCTAGAAGGCGAGAAGAACTCGAAGGAAACGGTGCCGAAGTTGATGTTGAGATTGAAGAGGAACCCTGCTACATATCCCTCCCAAATTTTCCGAATGGTTTTGAGACATTTTGAGACCGCCGTAAAATTCTGAGGTGAAGGAGAGAGAGCTTCTGGAGACAATAATTATGAATCTGCCCCAGGAAAGGAGCTCTAGGTCATGCTCAGGGTCATCTTCATATACTATGATGAGGTTTTCGTTTGGGTTATTAAGGATGGCAAACATATTAAACGCCTCAGACGATTGTCGAGCTACTTTGGAGAGGAAGATAGCGTTGCAGCTGGAGCAGGTGATGCTGGACGAACTCTTGATCCCTAGAAGCCATTGAGGCTTCTAGTTCTACGGGTACCTATGCCCTTCTCTCCTCCCCTTCGATCGGGTACCTACGCCCATGCACATCTAGCAAGCAGAGCACTTGACCCAGACAAGATCGCTGCCTATATCCGCCACAAGGAGGAAGCTCTGAGGTGAGGTTCCGATCCTGAAATCGACAAAATACTAGCCGGAGCCCGTTGATGCACCGGAGACAATGGGAGCCTTAAAGGCTCTACAACTATGCTAGGCTGAGAAAAGAACAGAGAGATGCTCAGAGTCCAAAGAGAGAGCTTGTGCTGGGGAAACAAACGGGTTTCTACGAAGCAATCGTAGTTTCAAGTATTCCACTTAACTACTATTAGGGGTGGATTCGAGTCGAACCGAGCTGAATAGTACTAGGCTCAAGCTTGGCTCGAGATGGCTCGCAAGCCTCACGAGCCAAACTCTAATAGGCTCGAGCTCGGCTTGTTTAATGAATGAGCCAATGAATTAGGCTCGAGCCTAGTTGAAACTGAGCCGAGCTGAGCTTTTCACGAGCCAAGCTCGAGTAGCTCATGAAAAGCCCGACTCATTGCCATCCCTAGCTACTATTATTGAAAGCAATCTAGTCGTTAATGAAAGAGAGAAAGGGTAAGGGGAAGAAGAGAAATCGGGGGTCGTGAGGTTGGGGAAGATGAATAGTGTTTTTCTCTCAATTGTCTTTATTATAAGGGTAGTATGGGGATTAAAAAATATTGCAACGACGGATTTCAACGGAAAGCTAACAAAAGGGGGTCTTTGTCACAAAACAAAGTACAGGGGGTCTTTGTAATTTACCCAATTTTATTTGAATTATGGTTAACTTTACAAGATTTGACTTCTATATGATAAATCCAACACCAGTTCCTTTAACCGCTGAAAATCTTACAATGAACTACTATAAAAACATCACTTTCTCTTATATATATCTTGCCATCCAACCACACGTAGATATCTATCTCCACTAGATTATTGATACGATTTGGTGAAGGAGTAGTGTCATTTTCATTACTAGTGTAGAGTATATGAGATGCATGTGTGCAAGTAAATATAAATTATATATGATATATGGTATTTGGATTTAATTTTTATGACTTGAATAAAAACAAGAAAAATCTAGTGTAATATTGATATACGTTGGGTATTTGCGAATCCATAAAGACCAGTATTCAACCGGCCTTTTTTTACCTTTTATATTTTAATTGACTAAGAGGGATCAAAGGCACCATTTCCAAACTTCGAAAACCCCATATGTAATGGTGTATCAATGAATCTATGATCTTTGGATATAGAGTATATGTTTGGCATCAATGCTGTTGATGTGTGGGTTGGAAGCACCATTTGGAATTGTTGCTACCAGGTAGGATGTTTCCTGGAGCAACAACTTTTTCTGTTTGGTACCAATGTTTTAGGAAACATTTTCTGCACTTTTACCAATTATCCAGTGCCACACCAATGTCCTGTTGGCAGCAACGAGCTACAGTTCCAAGAAATGCCAAATTTGGCATTGCTCCAAACCTTGCCTTCCTGATTTCCAAGGCGTGGCTTGGAGCACTGTTTTCTATGGAAAAACAATTCCAAACAGATGATTGTTTCCTGGAGCACCATTTTTTCTTACGTGGCGCTGATGTGACACCATTGCTTCAGGAAACGACAACAATGCCAAATAGCCGCTGATTCAATACACTCAATATGTACCGATATTTTGATAGAGCGCTCATTGGTCAATAACCCCAAAAATATTAATGCAAGAGGGAAATTTTTAACTGAAAAAAAAAATATGTTGTTTTGTATGTCTTGTTTGCAGGGCAACGAAGGAAGGATACAAAGTACAGGGTACTAATCTCCGATTTTGGACTAAACTATGTTGTTCTTTCCCTCAATTCAATTTGGAAAGCTTAGTTTGGAAGAAGTACAAATGCAAATTTGTAGAGTGCAAAATTTTATATTTTGTATTATTTTATATGTATTTGCATTGTACATATTTGTATTTATACTTTTTCCAAACTGAGCTGAAGGAAAGTACAAATACAAATATATACAATACAAATGCATACAAAATATAAAATTTTGCACTCTACGCATTTGTATTTGTACTCCTTTCAAATGGAGCCTCAAAAACAATGATGCCAAAGATAAGTATATTCATTCTGATTTTTTTTCCCGATAAATACTACATTTTTCTTCGATGGGAAATGGAAAATAACCTAGTATAACGCTTCCTCCCATTTCATTCGACAATCCTTCCTTCAAATCAGATGATTGACGAAAAGGTAAACAAATTCCAATGCAAATGTTCAATGCTATACCACTGGAATAAAAGGGTCTTCTTTTGTTCTTTGTAAGAAAAGAAAATTTTATTAATAAATAAACAATTTGATGAGATATATATGGAGAAAGACCTGAAAACAATAATGTATGTGCGAAGGCACTTACTGAATAAAGAATACCGGTTGTTGAGCTGCAAGAAATTTCTAGCTTAATTATTTGATCTAGCCAAGTTGAATTTTTGTCTCAAGATGTACAAGTATTGCTAGAATTTAATCCACACTGCTCTGAGATATTCATCATGGCAAGTTGGCATTTCACCTATGCAGCGTAGACTGTAATGGGAGATTGGATTAACTGAATGCAATAGCTGTTCAGCAGGCTGAAGAACCAATTATAACATTCTACATCAGTCATAAAATACATAGGCCCACAGCCTGCATAGACTAGACACTACTCATCCATTTAATTGAAACTTTCCATCGCTGAAATGGTTCAATCAAGGTTATATCTCATGAGAATCTAAATATCTAACTGTATTTCCAGCTTCCACCATCTTTCAGATTCATATGCTAATTAGATTTTCTCAATTTCCTGTTCATCCTTGTCTTCTGGATCTAAATCGCCTTACGCACTAGCCTTGCAGCTCTACAGACTCTGCATGGATTCCTATCAACAACTCAGCACCTGGGGTGAGCACAATTAATCTATGCAACTTCGGATCTCAAAATCAACTGAACTCAACCCACTTTAGTATACAGAAAAAAGGGTAACTGTATATTCCACCCCCAACCTTCATTAGCATTCCACAGGAAAAGTAGACTGAAAATGTAGACATGATGTATTAGACATTTTTAAATGTTCAAATGGTCCTTTAGAACAAATTTGTTTCAATCTTCTTCATTTCATAGTTAAGATTATAAAGGGACAAATTTTTTCCCCTTGAACAGGGTGGATAATTTCGTTGTCGGACTAGGTTTAGCAATGAACAACACAATGAAGCTTAGGTAGCACGATATTGCAAAAGCCAAAATGGCAAGATTATCCACCCTACTCAAGGGAAAACATGCCCTTTTCTCGTCTTAATATATGAAATGAAGGGTGCGACTATGATGCCGAAAAGATGTGATATGGGAAAACTTACAACCAATCAACCGGCATTATAAGTATAGGAATCAATCAGGTGGTTGTCACCAAAACTCAGTGTATTGTGATTGGTCAAAACCTTTCCAATATCATATCTTTTTACATGAAATGAAGAACACAAAGGGCAAAATCATCCCGAAGGATAATTTGAACTTTTAAAATACATATGTGGAGAAGGGATGGACTCCCCACGGAGTCCACAGCTAGGGCTGCAAGTCAGGCTGGGTTAGGTTGGGTTGAAGCCAATCCTAGCCCAATCCTAATCCTAACCCTAACTCTAACTAAATTCCTTCAACCCTAACTTAACCCAACCCAACCCAAAGTTGACTTCGGGTTGGGCTGAGCTCGAGTTGGGCCCAACCCAACCCTTTTTCCCATCCCTTAAAATCTCATAAAACTACTTAATCTCAAATCTTAACTCACTTTTCACTATATATATTAATCCCATGTTTTATTAGTATTTGTTTGTTGATGTTTTTATTAGTTCTTTTAGTACAAAATCAAAAAATTAAATGTTTGAAATGACTATAGTTTACTATGAGCTATGACTTATGATAGATCTTTTATAGGTGCCAAAGGGGATGAAGAATAAAATATTAAAAAAAACATAAAATATTTAAAAACCATATACTTTCTATTTTTTTCACACATTCATCATAATACATGCATTTCTGCCACACTCATTTCTTGGACATACTTCTTGACTGTCTGAAATGTTGCTCCAAAAAGCATTATTGCCCTTACAACTATTTATATATATATATATATATATATAATATACATTAACTTTCAAAACTCACAAATTGATTTCTGGATGCTACGATTTATTTAATTGGTAACATTGAAGTTGTTTTGATTGGGACTGTTCGGTAGCTTATAAATTGCCATCTCTTTCTTTCTTTCTTTTTTCTTTTCTTTTTTAATTTTCAACAGGTTTTTGTTACAAGTTAAAGCCTAGAGGATCTTGGAGCAATGTTTTAAAGTGGTTTCCTCGAGACAATAGGATAACTGCATAGAGGATCTCTTTCTTTCTGCTTCTTAGACGGGCTAGCTCCTAACTGCATAACGAGTTCAAAGTCTCTCTCGTTAAGGTGAGAGGCACAAGCCTCAACTTGCGAGGAACCTCCTAACTGAAAATTCCTTCTTGGATGTTTTCATCAAGTTTATAAATCATAAGGGTAATAACCCTTCATATATGATATAATATATAATAAATGATAATATTAAAAACTTACAAGACAAAGATGTTCTCATTTCTCCCATTTTGGTTCTTTTCCCCTCAAAAATCCCATACCAAATTCTCAACTTGTCTTTCTCGTCAATCAAATGGAGCTCAAGCTGTTCAACAAAATTTGACTCACAAGTTAGAAGTTCTTCCTACCACAGTTCCTGTTGATTGAATGCAAAATACAACTCTAATAAGTCATTTTTTTCTGTATATTCTTCCTTTCGATTTATCATTCTCTTTACATGTTTGCATGGTGAATTGAATGGAACCAGTTAAGAAGCTAATAATGATCTAGAGGGAACCAAAAGGATTTTGCATGAATAAACATAAAAGAACAAACCAGAAAGTAAAATCTCAGTAAGTACAAAACTCTAGATATGCTAGAAACCAAGTGTCGAAATCAGGATAGAAACACCAAATCAGGAGTAACACATCATGGCTCCATTTCATTCAACAAAAGATGGGCAAAATTTTTCTTGGGATGAACTATTGATTAAAATACAGAAAAAAAAAAGAGAACAAATGTATGACCCGTGGCCCGTTATGGGAAAAATAGTTTAGTGGTTCAGTTGGCCAGGTCATCGAGTCATTGACTGGGCCAACAGTTTTTGCAATTGAGTGGGTCAGGGGTGAAATGGGCCCAGAAGCTGGGTGATATATAGGGTGACGGTCCGACCCACGTACCGATTCAACTGCAGGTTGAAAATATTGGTCTTGACTCTTGAGGGACTAAAGTTGAGGATCCTAACAGCTACATAAAGAGATTAGTTTCAAGAGTACCAAATTACCAATGTTGCCTAAATTATTTTTATTTCTTACTTTAACTTATCTATAAATTTGAACAGTAAAGGCAATTTTAATTTTGTTATAAATTAATGTAATGTAACATCCAACTATAAGAATTCGTTCATCAAGTATTATTTCTTTACTTCTTTTAAGTAGATCTCCAAAGTTAATTAGATGTAGATTTTCGGGCAAGCTTATAGTTTTAATTTGATTTTTCAGTATTAATTGGAAGGGCAGTTTTTTTATTAGTTAATCAAAGCTGAACACCTCACTAGAGAAAGAACAATTATTAAAACCTCAATTGGAGATAATGGACGTAGTTCTGATAATTCTCAACAGAAGCAAGCTGAGTAATCTCCAAGCTCTTAAAGTGATTCTTAAGATACCCTATACTGATATATTGGTTATCTCCTCTCTCTCCACCAAGTTCAGCTTCGATCAGGGTAAAGCCCGTTCGAACAACCTTTATAACCTTACATTGAGAATATCTTCCTACTTATGTGCTTTATTTCATAGGGAGATATTCCCAATGCAAGGTTGTAAAAGATGGTTGGAACATGCAAGCCAATCTCCTCCCATTCTCTTTTTTTTTTTTTGTTTTCTTTTCTTTATTTTTTATTTGATAGATCCCACCTCCTTGAAACAAGCACATATGTTTTTCCTTGTTAGAAAATGGGGTCATGAAAATTTTAGAGGAGAAACTCTGAGGCGTGTCTGAAGATACTGTCTTTAGAACATTATTTGCCCCCACTCAATTTCACTAAGTTTGTTGTTGGGTTATAGGCAAATCCGTTCTCAGAATACAACAGAGCCTTGGGCGAGAATATACAACTAGTAAAGTTGAAGAGTCTCCGAAGAAACCTTTTGTGGGACTGTAGTAGACCGGACTGAGAGAGAGAGAGAGAGAAAGTGAATTTCGAAAACGTGTGTTTGATAAGTCTGATGCATGCTCTTTAAATAGATTATGAAGAGGTGTGAAGAAAAGGTACATGCAATTAATGTCTGTTAACTTTGAATTGTGCCTCTTGATCAGACCTGATCAAATCGTGATCGTTGATCTCATCAATGGTGATCAACAGTCAGCATCGCACCAAAACCAAAGCTGCCATTCGCGAATCATGCGGGTGCATGTGAAGTGCGAGCAAAGTGCACCTCTAAAGCACCTCATTGCGTCGCACACACGAGCGCACACGTGTGCACGTCCATTGCGCGGTATCAAACCCCCATACTCTCATCTACTATTTCTAAAAAGTGTAAATCAGCTCCTATTAAAATACTGAAAACAAAGCTTATAATTTTCTAATGTGGGACAAGTTCAAAACTAGATTTTGTAAGAGAAAAGTTAATTTTCCAAACAAGTGTGCAGGTGTAATTTCTCATGTAATTAACCAATCAAATCCATTGGATTTAATCTCTTATGAGATTAAAATCCAACAATCTCTCTAAAACATTTAAAAAATAAAATTGTTAGAAGAAAGAATGAAAGATACAAAACAAAAAAAAAGTACCAATAATTGTTATTGTATCCCCAAAACTAAAAAAGATATAGTTAAGGTTCTCAATAACATACACGCAACCACAAATTGATGATAAAGGTTGGAAATGGGAAGAATTTTACAATGTTCTTAAGAGGACAATGAGTGGAGAAAGAAATCATTTAGTTAGCTGTTAGCATGAGATTGAATAAGGACAACTTCTAAAGAAAACTAAAATGTGTAAAACATTTCCTCTTGCATGCATCTACCACAAATAATAATTCTACTAAGTAGTAAGATAGTAGTAGCAACTGAATGTGTAAGTGAAAACATTGTACAAGAATCCTCATACTTCACTTTCAATATGAGTTATTTTGAAATACAACTTAATATAATCAGCCTCTAGATATGGTTAGTTTTGTGAAAATATGATAAAAAAATTCAAAGGATTTCTGTGTGATTAATTTATGAAAAACTTAATGAGATTTGCTGATATTCATCAAATCTCAATGAACCAAGCACACCCACTCACATACATGGACACACTGATAAGGTGGGAATGGTTACATGCATGGCTATGTTTAGTTTCACATTTGTATTGTAGGTTATTAAATGCTTATCCAACTAAGTCTTCAAATATAGGGAATTAATGCCAATTTTATTCAGATGCTTTCAGCTATGCTGAAATAGAACTAATTACAAATCAGTTATTATTTTTTTACCAATATAATCTTTTTATATCCATAAAAACTTTTAATAAATCATTCTTCCCATTTAACATTTTTTAGTTTATATTTTACATTGAAATCTAAGAAGGGATAACTTCTGGTAACAACCATTATGCTTTTCATTTTGGGCTTGCTTTAATTACCATGGTATACGAGTTATAGAAAGAGAGTGATTGCGTGCTCCCTTGATATCAGAGTGAAAAAACAAACAACCAATGAATTGGGAGGGAGGGGGGGGAGAGGGTAATTCCAAGCAATAATGAGGCTTCTTTAGAAAGGAAAACACCTCTAACTACAAACTCCAAGAGTTTTAAAGAAACAAAAATTTCACAGAATTACTGATTCTTTAACTTTTTGTGTGCACCCATGAGTTTTGATACAAATTATTCTATAGAAAATTGTGGCACCACAGAAAGTAGAGAAAATAATAGAAAAGAAACGAAGGTCCAAAACACAAGGGTTTAATGTAGTGTGGGAAACTACATATATTTACAGGTGAAAACAAACAAAATATATTAATCCATTAAGAGAGACCTAACATGCCAAAAGTAATATTAATTTCCAAATAGGAAACAACCCAAGGAGACCAAACTGCTATTAACATAAATTTTCTATTTATCAAAAGAAAGGAAGACCTAACTTGCTATTAACAGCCATACATGCATTTTTAAGTAATATAATTTAAACTTTCTCATTCATAATCCATTCCCTAGCTAGGGTATATATGATAGAAAAGGTTTGGAATGAGGTAAGTCTCTTATCCTATTTCAACAGTTTCATCAAGTCATTATTTTCACTTGGCTTGGATAGGGTATAGAGATCACATGATTCTCGGCACTGAAACTTAGTTGCTATTTAGTCATTTGTTCAGGGATTTTCTTAATTTAGAGGCACAAGCTCAAACATCTCGAGTACCACACAAATATACAAGACACACGCATATTCTCATTAAGCTATTGGTGCTATACTTGGTTTAAACTGCACCTTATCCCAATACTATGGAGACAAATACTACTTTATATACTTGTGTTATTCTACTTTATATATTTAGTTAATTACATAGTAGTTTCTTAACTCTTTTCCCATGTCAGCTTTAGGTTGTGTTTGGTATAATTGTCATTTCTACTTGCAACCTTTTAGATTGGTCAATACAAATATTTGACAAATTGCCTTGTCACATCACACCATATAAACACTTCCCCTAAAAAAATATAAGCATTGGATTGGGTGTTGGCATTTATAGTAGAAAACACCAAATTTGACTTTCCTAAAGAAACAATAATGGTACCACCAAATGTTGTATTGATAACTCAAAGCATTTGTCCTAAAAATATATATTCTCATAAAATTTGTATTGACCAACCTAAAATGTTGCAAATAGAAGTGGCAATGGTATCAAACACAACCTTAGGTTGTATTTAGCATTTTTTATTTTAAATACTTTTCTCATTTTTTCTGTTAAAATACCCCTATGAACACTAAGTTCTTAGCTGCAAAAAGAAGATAAGTTCTTAAAAATAAGGAATGGCAAATGCAGCCTTAGTCTTTCCTAGTTATTGGGACACCTAAAGCGAAATTTTTGGTTATCTTAGTTAAATTTCTTAGAATTTCCTTTTCTGGACTTGAAAATAAAAACCCATATGGAGTCCACCCCTCCCAAGACCCCAGATAGCTGGGACCAGCATTGGTTGGGGAATAATTTCAATTAGCTGTACGAGTCCTCCGTGAATATATATCTCTGATATCAAGATACCTGTATGAGGGCGTCACTTGGGATACTTCAAATGTTAGTGTAAATTCCATTCTTGACACATTGATATAACCAGCCATGTTCTTGCCATATATAGTAAAACAAGTCACAAGTTTACTTTGGATTCCTAGGATACCTTCATGGTGGAGCCTCTCTTTTGTCATCTTCCTTGTTGTGAAACTACACAACTGATCATGCCTTTCTGCGTGTTTGTTTCTTACTGTGATTTGTTTCTCTTATGTCACGCATATTTACAACCTTTGGGGTCTTGATTGATGTAACATATAGATGCTAAATAATGAAATGCATGATAGGGGTTCGGGATGCATGTATTCACCGGACGGTTTTTTGTACTACAAGTACATTATGAAAGGTGGAATAGTTAGATCAATTGTCTGTGTCTGAAAAAGAATATGCTCTCCGTTCTTTTCATAGATAAAGTTTCTTTAATTTATAGATATTGCTTTTTGGTTCTAAACTTTGCTACTTAATTAATCATGTAAATTAGAGACATCAGGTCCTGTTATTAAAATAAAACAATAAGTTACTATAAGCAAAATCAAGTATATACAAACATATAGGACAATCTTATCTATTTAAGACTAGAAAGAACTCACCTTGACCAAAATGGAGCCTTCATGGTAGGTACCAAAGAAACCTGGTTATACCCATGAAAAACCACAACAAGACTGTGAGCTTTTATTGCATAAACGGTCAAATTATCATCCTCAAGAAGAAATATTCATGATCAAAGAAGAGATTACACAATAGGATCTTTTACCCTACCAAGGGCCCATGGTCATCTACCGAGGGCCCTTAACCTATTTTCATCCATCATCACTTGTTTGATGCTCAACCACTGTATCAAGCCATTTAGGAAGTAATTAAACAACAGTGTCTAGAATAGTTGTTAATGTTTTCCTTCCAAAAATAACAATACAGGCTACCGAATACCACACATATAAACAGCAGAAAACAAGTTCCAAAGCTCTTCTTTTGGGAATAATAAAGATATATATTTCTTCTCATATATCTATTTCTTGTTTCTCACTTCTCAGTATTTCTTTCTTGTTTTTCTCTCTCACTTCTCAATCAACTAGCAGCAAGCTAAGCGATCGCTTTGGCCATACAGCTTTCCACATAAACACGTCCAGGGCCGGGGCGAAGGCAAGCACCAAGGCAGCTGCTTAGGGCTGAGAAAGAGACAAGGGTTCTGTGTTGTATCTGGGAAAGATTTAAGGTAGAGAACTCTGGGAAATTTTGGTAAGCATAGAAGAATACCGGAGAATATAGATCATTTGACAGACAAATTAAAACAGTAATGGTTACTGGTCCATAGAAGACTGTTCATGGAATCCCTTTCCATCCTCAAAACTATTAATATAGTGGAAATGCGTGGAGTAAGTGACAACCCTGGAGTCTCAGCAACTATTTAATTTCTCCAGGTTCAAACCATCTCTCACTGTACGTGAGAGAACTCTTACCACATCCACAGGAAAAAAAAAATACACCAACGTCCAAATTATCAAACTGAAACTCGAACAACCTTACAATAAAAGAAACCCATATTAGGGAAAGGTTGGAGCTCATCCCACAGAAAACATCAGAGAAATCTTGATTATTTCACAGGACAACACCACTTTGCACATCATGGAAAAGATCAGTAGTGAATATAAATTAAAGAAACACAAAGGAAACAACCATTCCTTCTTACCTCGGGTGAGACAAAAATGGAGCTTCTGAACACGTTTTAATCTCCCACCGCCTTTCCCGAGCACACACACAACACGCAAAGAGAAGCAGACATGGGGAGATCCTGCATCACCTCAAGAAATAATAGAGGGTTCATGTTCATCTAGCTGCCTGCAGCTGGAAAGTCACTAGATAAATACATTGTTAATTAGCTCATGTCTCTCCCATCTCTGAAAACCAGAGAGGGACAGAGAGAGAGAGATGCGAGGCAAGATGGCATTTGTCTGGACCTGCACCTGCACCGACACCGATCGATCTCCTTCTCTGTAACAGGTCTTTTTGGGGACGGACGCAGAGAATTCCTTGGTGCAGTGCAGGTGCAAATGCAGACATATGCGACATGTCGACTGTCAAAAAATGAAGCAAAACCCTGGGAAAGAAAGAGAAACCAACTCTCGCCCATAACATCCAGGATGAGACGAGAAACCCTCTTATCTTTCTCTCTCCTCTCCCTCCTCTCTCTCTATCTCTCTCTCTCTCTCTCTCTCTCTCTCTTTCTCTGTGAATAAATGCGTATCCATTTAACATCTGTGGCTGTCTCTGAGAGAGAGAGAGACGTTGCTTTATCTGGTGGAAGCGAGGGTCGGCGTCTTTGAGATCAAAATAAGTATGTAGTGACCACGTGACTAAAGCTTCGGGCACGTGGAATTGCCTAGTTGGCCAATGGAAAGCTGCCACCTCAGGATTCAGCGACTGAAAGCCCACTTGACATCATCGTGCAACCCGCGTGGCGTGCCTCGCTTTGCTAATTAGTAATTAATAATCACGCCCTTATTATTTTCTCACTTGTTTTTTAATCCCAATGATCCGGACCCGAATGTACGCTTTTGTCGGATTTTGTCCGCCAACCCAGGAATCCTTCAATTTCATACTCTTATTAATGTACCGTATTTTTCTCTCTTTATTCTCTTTAAAAAATAACTGTAAATTAGGTGGATTTTGTCCGCATGTATCGGATGTGCCTGGTCATGTCATGTTGCCATGTTGGTTGGTTATGTTGGGTTTACACGATCTGACCATCCATTCCGCTCCCCAAATTGCATTAACAAAATCCCCAATTCCACCATATTTCAGACCGGATTTCAGTTTTGGATCTGGGGACGGTTTAACCATCTAGCTCTATACAGGTCTAACTTGCTCGATACAGGTTCCTTAAACAAACCTCAATCCAATGTTTTTAAACCCGTCGTTGATTCGGCCAGTCAAACCGTCATCCGGTTAGGATTATGGGCCCAGTTCAGTCAAGACCTGTCAGATGGTCAAGAATCGTTCGACTTGGTGACTGAGTTGCAAGTTGTATACACAATGCATGAAAAACATTTAGAGGCCATAACTTTACATTCCAATATTCGATTGAGGTGATTTTTTTTATTTTGAATAATTTTTCGAGATCTATGTATCCCAAGATGCTGTAGTGCCTTGCCCTGCTATTTTTATGAAAAAAACTTCTTTTTTGTAATACTTTTTTAAATAAAAAATAAAAACTGAATTAAAAACATAAGTTAAATATAAATTACAATATAACATATCTAAAACATATTAATACATTATTTATTGTTAAAATATATATTTATATACACACACAAACACACACACATATATATACTAAATACATATGTGTGCTGATGTGATACGGTCTGAACCATTCGACTCGGCCGATCAAACTGGTGACCTGCAACCCGAAGACCGAACCATTTTTGCCTCCAAGCCAGTTTTTAAAACATTGCCTCAATCCCTCATTTGAGGTTAATTTCTTTGAATAGCTTGCTTTTTGAAATTTTATTTTTTAAGCATTTGTTTGAGAGAGTTTTCATGCAGCGGCTTCTGGCGTTTCAAGGTGGGTAGGGCTTGTAATAGACTCCGAATATCTGATGCCTTATTTGACTTCAAATTCGATTATCCGGATCATTTCTTGGTAAAAGAAATAGATAGAAATACAGCAAAAGAAACATTAGATCAGAGGGCTTTTCAAGTATTATCTCACAAAGGAGTGGATCCAAGATGGGCACTCCTCAATGAAGAAACCAATCTCATTAAGACCCTCAATGATGGATCCATTGCATTATCACTTTTTCCACTTGACATAGTTTGAAAAAAAAGAGACAAAGAGTTGGATTTCACCTCTACATCATCAGTGACAGAGATGGATTTAACCAGATTTGGATGTTAGAACTTGCACCTAATTAATAATTAGATTAGATGCAGATTTAATTTTATTGGAGTCCAATAAAAATTATTATTTAATTGATAAATTTAATCTTTTTTATAAATATACTATTATACATATATAAATTAAAAATTATTAATTCCTTTTTTTATCATTTTAAATACATTAAAATAGTTGCAGATTAAATCCAAATTCAATCTGAAAGCTAACATGATAATTTTGGTAGATCTCACACTGAAAACCAAAACAACACTCTTATTGAGCTAAGAAATCAACCTTCCTATGAAACTAATTTTGGTAGCTTCTCTCAAATCCCTCAATCAATGTGATGGTTGTAAATGTTAGAAACCCTCCCAAACAGCCTATAAAATTAACGAAGTAAATGTTAACCCAATTATTATATCTACATTTACAAGTTGCAACCCTCATGTGTTGTCTAAAGTGTGCAACTCCTCTATGTATCGGTGGGACGGTATGGTGGAAATGCAACTTGGAGGTTGGAATTGCATTGATTGTGGGTAGCTTTTCTCTGAAGAAGATGGTTTCTGTATTCATTTTTCTAGTAAACAGTTTTTGTAAAGTGGTTGGTGCTCAAAACCAAGAATTGGGTATCCTGCCAACAAAATAATTTCCAACACCCTACCAACTTGATGTGAAATCATATATCTCACTATAAAATTAGGGCTTATTATAAAAGTGGAACATATCATGTATGAGATGTGCCGTATCAAATGATGTTGGTAGGGTATTGGAATGTATCTTGCTGGCAGGTGATGTGCAAGCTCCAAAACCAAATATGATTTGACATTTCATACACTACATTTATTCTGCCTGTTTGAGCTTATTATCTAACAACAATTGGTCCCAATTCTCAATAAAGGTGGATTGCATTAGGTTGGTGACCAGCGTTAATAACATTTGCCCAGCTCTTATGGTCATGGATTGAGATGGCCGAATGACAAAAATAAAAAGAATAGGGTTAAAAATGAAGTCATTCAAAGGCACCTAGGAATAGTCCCAATATGTGATAAAACATTATATTTAAAAAATATATGACCAATCAATCGACATCCTAAACTTGTTAACCTATCAGATGGTATTTATCAAAATTCACGGGTGGGCTTTGGTTGGTCAAAGCTCTTCCAACACCATATTTTTCCGGTATCATAGATTTTCCTTAAAATGAGAGAATAAACTTGGATGATTTGGTCATGTGTATATAAAAATGTCTAAAGCAAAACTTGGTTGCCGGCGATCAAGTTAGATAGAAGTACATGATGGAATAGAATGGTATTTCCTTGGAAAAGGTTTGACTTTGGTGAGAAATGAATTGAGTGGATTACGAAATGCATATCTTTGATGTCTTACCAAGTATAATTACAAATATATATAGTACAAGGTTTTGCCGGCGATCAAGGTTTTGCAAGTGCATGTTTGTATTTGCACTCTTCCCAAACAGCATTTTCCACAACGATTATTTGTTTGAAAAAATAAAACAAACCAAAATAAAAGAAATGAAATCAAAGAAATTTCATTTTCTTAATGTATGCATACATAAATTGGGTTTAATGTTATATATTTACTAGTTTACTACAGAGTAATATTTTCAAGTATGGAAGAAGTTGTATTTTATACATCTAATAATTTGGGTTTGGGTCTAGGTAAATTCGGGTGGATCCGATTCATTTGTGAAGGGAATGAATAATGATGAAGAAAATATAAGCTTCCAAACAGGGGAAAACTAGAAGTGATGGCTACAGGTGCATCATCACCATTGTTGTCATCTTCTTTGTACTGTCAACCTCTCTCTTCTATCTCTCTCCAAAAAGTAATACAGTTAGTGGTACAAATAATTTCAGCTCAGGCATATTTCCCTGTACCCAGCTGCTTGAGTGGACTAGGAAGGTTAATACCCAACGCTTAAAACAAGAGAAGAGACGGAAGAATATTCTAACATATCTGTACATCACAAAGGGAGGGAGGGTTTGCTCTGGATTTGGCTCTGTCCATTTCTATGATTCTTGATTAGGGCTTTCTCTACAATGTAACTCTGACCGGACATACAAGATACAACTGAAATGAAATGCTTTCTGGGTTATGGTTCTACCAATTAACTGGGTGGGATTAGTCCATGAAAACTGTCATTTGATTGGAGAACCGGAAACGATACTGGGTCTACAAGTTAAATTGTCTATTTTTATTTAAGGTTTAAAATTTCAATATGATACATTTCGCATCGCATCGGGAACTGTCTGAAATCCCAAATAAGAGAGTAAGTGTGCTTAAAATAAACCCCCTGATGCAATTTTGAAAAAAAAAAAACCCTTAAAATAACGAAGTTTTAAAGTAGCAAAACACCCAATATGCCTATTTATGTGTATAGGATGTATCAATACTTTAAACCATGGTTCTACCCAAGTCTTACAACAATGTTGGCTAATTGCCACCCTTCTCCCATACTCTAAAAGAGGAAAAAAGCTCATATAATTCACACAACAATTGTAAGCAATAATTTAAGTTCACGGTCACAAGGGGGCCCATCACCAACCTTGATAGGGTTGTCAATGGGTTGGGTCTCAGTTGGAGTGGGGACAGAGTGTCTCAGTCCCATTCTGATTAATAAATAATCAGCACAATATGAAGGACCCATAATTAAATCAATTAATAATCAGGACAATCGGGGGTCTGAGTGTCTGACTCAATTAGAACTGATTATATTGGCACTTATAATTATCAACAATACTAACAATTTAGAACTTTATTAATTTTAATAACATAACCTTATTAAAACTGAAGTTAAAATATAAAATGTGTTTTAATGATAATTATCTTATATATTTTTTATGAAATTTACTTTTTTAGATATCAATATAACAAAAAAAAAACGAGAAACCTTTATATAATATTAATTATATAATCGGTTCAGACTTAGTTTGAAAGAGCAAGAACCGGTCCTGACCCAATAATTAATCGCGACAAAATAGATTCAATTCTGTTGGGTAGACCAGACCAAATGACAGCCCTAAATCCTTGAGCAACAACAATGGCAGGACTAACCTTGCCGTTAACTCGTATTGTCTTCCAATTCTACAAATGCAGCGAGCCCTCAACAAGTTCAGCTTTAATAGAATTACCTGGCTGTCTTTAGACCTCGTGAGAATAGATGCAAATGGTTTTACTGTTTAAGCAATGAAAAGGGCCAGAAAATTTTCACCAAGAATTACAAAAACAAGGATTCCCCCCAACCCCACCAAGGAAATAATCAAACCACACATTTACTCATGAGCAATTTCAGCCTCACAATAATACAATCTGTTTTCTGAACCACCAGCAGCTCAGTATTGAACGTATTCGCAGTGAGCTAGTTGGCAAATAGCAGCCCATGTAGTGTCACAGCAATCTAATAGAAAGTCAAATGGAATAG